GTATGAGTGTATGATGCATGTGCATATGTGTGTGTGTGTGTGTGTGTGTGTGTGTGTGTTGAGGCAAGAGGTCAGCCTTAGATATCATTCTTCAAGTGCCATTTACATTTTGTTGAAGAAAGGGTCTCTCACTGGCGTCACAGTCATAATCCCTAGGACTCTCCCTCTCTCCACCTCTCCAACGCTTAAACTGTAAGAGAGTGCCTTGTCTGAGCCTTTTTACATGAGCGCTAGGGATCCGGTTCCTCACACTTGTGTTACTGACTGACTGAACTGTTTCCCAATCTGAGAACAAACATTTGACCAGCTCTACCTCCACAGAAGAGTGTTGGGAAACTAATTTAAGTGCAAATCGTTTTACAGATTTTTAGTATGATAATATACATACATTCAAAAATCAGTAAAATGTTATTATAGAGACAAAAGGCAGTTTCTACCATTCCTGTGACTGAAGTGTGTGCAAAGAATATCAAACCAGTAGGTATCTAAGCAAGAACATTTACCTTTCAAATATGTGATTGGAGCAGAATGTCATATCTTGAAGGACAAGGTTTTAAGTTTTCAACTACATTTGATTTGGTATTTATTTTTACAATAAAAACATTTTCCATTAACTGTAAATTTATTCATTGTAGACATTTGGAAAATTTGTTTTATATGTAATGTTTCTGCTAAAACAGAATTATTAATGTTTTCTGCTTTTCCATTAACATTTTCTTATTTCATTTTTATGCAGATATAAGCTGCATAAAACTCAGTAATAAGTAAGAAATAGGGTAAAGCCATTCATATATGCTCCAGTACATAAAACACACAGGTATGGGATTTTATTTCCCAAAACCTAAACTCTGGCTGGATTATGATTATTTACTAGATTTATAAAATTTGGATGCAATTCTTTTGACTCAGAAAAGTGAAAATCTAAAATACATCTTCTGGATATTTAATGAAGCTCTCAGCCATCATCTTCTGGCCAGAGAGAGAAACGCAAAATGATGCTTGGATGAAAGTATGCTTAATGTTTAATTGCCTGGGTAATTACTGTAATCATCTATTTACATTCCTATTTAGATATGTCCACACAGATAATACAGTCATTGAGAATTTGGACTGTTCAGCTATTGGAGATGTGAGCAATAAAGGATGTGATCCACCTTACTTTGCACACCCTTGATGAGTAATCTCCAGGGGTAGTTTGATAGACACCAGCCAGAACCTCCTCCCAGCTGCCCCAAGTAAATTAGTTCCTTGTTTTGAGGGACTAAGAGAAATACACGTAAGAGGTGTGACCATCAATGACTTCCGGAAAATTCCTTGGCTGAAACTGATTAAAAAATTAGTACTAAATATTTCTGTTTGTGTGTATTTGCATAGATTTTATTGGGTAGAAGAATAGTACTTAATACCACAAGCAAACATTTAGAATTCACCAAAGTTTCTTGGTTCTGTTCTTTGATTATCAGCTCAATTCTGACCTCACCTGCTGCGGGCTCATATTTTTCTAGATTATTATATACACAAGATTGTAGATCATTATATGTGTGTAATTTTTCACTTATCTCTTGCCTGTATCAGTGAAGGTTATGGACGAATAGTCTTTCATTGTAAAAGTTTGGCACACCTTTCTCATCCACTCACCACTTAAAAGACATGGGTTAACAGTTTTGTTTCCTACGAACAAACCTGAACTTATATATGGGCTTTTATGTGACTATCAAGTGTCATTTGTCTTCTATAGATACCTAGAAATAGGGTTGTTTGGTCATATGTTGTGTCTTAAACTTTATAAGAAACAGTCAAAGTGTTTTTCAAAGTAACTATTTTGGCTGACATTAAGTATTTATTGCTCTTCTGGCAAGTGTACTTTTAGCATTGTCTTAGTTACCTTATATTACTGTGATAAACACCACGACTAAAGCCACTTAAAGAAATAAAAAAGCATTTCAGTGGGACTTGCACTTCCCAGGGGATAGGCATCTATCAACTTAATGCAGGGAGCACAGCAGAAGGTAAGCAGGCCTGGTGCTTTCCCCAACAAGGCCACACCTCTTAGTCCTGGCCACACCTCCTAGTCCTGGCCAAACCACCACCAACTGAAACCTCTGGAGGCACTCATTTAAATCACCACAACTAGGTTGGTTTTTGGTTTTGTTATGATGTTGCTGCTTGATTGGTCTCTTGTCTTTTTCAGTTCTACTTTTTTAAGAGGTATGCAAATATAGCTTGTTAATTTGTGTTTTTCAAAAGGCAATGATGAGGTCATCTGTGCTCTTGAATTTGGGCATTTACACATTTAACCAATTACAATTAATGACAGTGCATGTTAATTCAAGCTTTGCCTTTTTGTTTTCCATTTGTCCTATTGGTTCCCTGCCCATTTGTTACAAATCTTTCTTTTGTATTAATTGAAGAGTTATAAAATTTCATTGCTTCTTGATGTGGATTTGCAAGTGGTTTCTTTGGAGTTTATATTAGTTTAGTTTACAGAAATTCACCTTCAAGTGATTTACTTACTTTCATTTTTTGGTAATACTTTTTGTGGTGTTGTTGGCAAGCATTTTTCTTTCAAATGTCCTAAAAACTTCTTGATGAACTGTACCATTTCTTCTTAAACAGTTAGTCTATGAAAGAGATAAAAATAATTAGAGACATGGCACATGTGTGTGTATATAGTATATGTGTGTGCATATATTTTCAAGTGTGAATGTGTGTGTGTGTTTGCTCATGTTTGTGTAAAAATGTGTGTGAATGTGTCTTACAATGGCTAGAGATAAAATCAGTAAATCAATTTTCCTTAGTTACTTCTGATTTTTTTGTTTGTTTGTTTTTCCTTTGGAGACATGGTTTTTAATTAAATCTAGAACTCATGATTCTGTTACGCAGGTCTAAGGCAGATCTCGAGGCATTCTCTCTGGCACCCATCAGCCCCATCAGCCCCAGTCCTGAGGTTACAGACTTGTAAGCCAGTGCATGGTTTTTACAGGGGTGTGTGACTTCAAAGTTTCATGCTTGCATGGAAAGAAGTTTGCCAAGTGGAACTTCTCAGCCCCCTTTAAGATTCTTGTGCTGATAGGGGCATCTTTTATCTGCTTTAACTTACTTTCTAATATGGTTTCCATAACATTTATTCTCCTGTGTCTACACTGTTTGTGAAGTCCAATATGACCTTTTGAAAATTCCTTATGTTTTCTTCATCCTGAAAGATAATATTTCTGGCCATGTCAGAGGAGGTGGCAGCTTCCCGAGTTAAGTCCACTAAAATCCAAGTCTCTGATGGGAGAATCTCAGACAAAGCAAAGCCTTGAGGGCTTCACTTCCAGAATAACTCTTTCTACTACTGTGTCTTTACATGGTGGCCGCTGCCATTTTTCTCTGGTTATCTGTCATAATGTGTATGGATGTGGGAGTGTTCCCACTGCTTTTAATGTCGTATGATTACCTCATGTAAATATTCAGTTCTACTGGGCATTTTTACCTGTTGATTATTAAGAAGATGATTTCCTCTTAAGCTGTACTGTTTAATTGAAGTAATGATTTAATCAATAGTAGTGATGATTTTGATAATTAAGGGTTTTTAACAAATGTAATGAGGGAGTATGATAGTGGTTAGTTTAGTGGAAAAATTAATATAGGTAAAGATAGGATATAGTGTTATCCCTGTCCCTGATAAAGCAGGAACTGCAGTGGATAGAAAATAGGAATAAGAGATTGTCAGTTAGGACTTCCAAGTTTTTTGTCAGGAGTCCTATAGATTGTGACTTACTGATTAGGTTACTGATTCAGGAAAACAACTGAGCCCCAGAAGCTAGGCTACCTCAAGTTCTTTTAATCTTAGACGTGTTCAGGGGTTTCGGTGTATATCACAGCATAAAACATTAAATAATGTCTTAAGGTTAGTTTAAAATGATTTTGTTAATCTGCCTGTCTCTGCCTCCCGAGTGCTGGGATTAAACCTGTCCGTCACCACTGCCCGGCAATTAGGCATATTTCTGTCTCTGTATTAATGCTGAAGCCTCCCCCCCACCCCCGTACTTGAAAGACCCCCATGTTCCCATACTATGTTAAACTCTGCTGAAACTTAACTGAGCCATAGGGAGAAAAAGCCCCCAGGCTCAGTTAATGACTGTGAAATTTAGCTGGGCCATAGAAGGAAAGTCATTGTCCAGTTCCCCCGCCCCCCCCCCCCCGCGAAGCGAAAAAAGGAGATGAATGGGGTGGAGACTCGCTGACTAGGCTGAGGAGAGGGAGTACCCCATCCCCAAGGCATTCTATCTAAACTGTCAACTTGCTGCAGGGTTCTCTATCTCGCTTTGTGGTTTTTCAGGGAAATTCGGGAATAGACATGGGGCCATTCCCCAGGGTGAGCTAAGCACGCCAATTTGAGAACCAATGAAATGCTTGTTGCTAGGAAGCCTCTTATGTAACTCTTAAATCCCTATAAATACATAATGTGCCTTCAGCCTGGGATGCTTAGTCAGCTATGCTGCTGAAGCATCTATAGGTGCCTATGTATATTAAATAAACTGCCTCTTGCTCTTTCATCCAGTGGATTGGTTCTTGGACAGAGGGCTCCAAATGAGACCCCCCTGACATTTGGGGTCTTTCAATGCTTTAAAATATTTCTTTAAGTTGCTTTACAAAAGAATATTAGAAAAATAATGTGATATCTCAGAATGATATTTAAAATAAGAAAAATATATTTCTTATTTTTACGCTAATTATGGATTGCAGTTAAAAACTAGATTAGGTTTAACTTTAGATAAAATCTTTGAATTACCTCTGTTGTTATTAAGTTTTTTTATTAATGTAATATTCTCCTTTGTGTTCATATGTAATAAGCAAAATAGTAGAAATGTAGCATTCAAAGCTCATGCTGAAATTAAGTATGTGAAACCCTTCCTTCTCTTGGAACTTTTAACAAATACACATTTTTGAAATAGCAGCATTTTTATAAGAATGAACGAACTATTAATTGTATAAAACAAGATATTTCAATATTAGAGTTATGTAAAAAATGTGACTACTCACAGTGTAAAGAGAAGAAAAATGAAACTTTCTCATAAATATTGGTGAAGTTTAAGGTTGTCAGGCTTTACACATCTGTTTAAACTGTTCTTATAATGTCACACATGCTTTAGAGAGTGAGGGCTATTTGATATGGCATGTACTCTATATGTTAATACAAATTCATGGTGATTAGCTTGTGAGCCTCGGTCCTACTTAAAAAGAAAATAAATGATACCCTTGCTTTGCTCGTATATTTCAGACACACAGTCTGGGAAGGCGCTGAGTGGTTGAGGTAATTTTTTCCTTTGTCGATCTGACACAATTTTAATACGAAAAAAGTGAAAAAATGATGCACAAGAAAATCAAATATTGAAGGCGTATATTCACACATAAATACAGCCAAACAGAGCAGGGATTGGTACAAGTGTTTGAGGGATGAAAACCTTTCCTGAACTTCTCTCTAGTTTTTAAAGAAGCTTTACTTTTAATTTATTTCACCTGTGTTTGTGTTTTACCTGTGAGGCGACCTTGCATTGTTTGCATGTGGTGCCTGCAGATGCTAGACAAGGGCATGGAGGCCCTGGAACTGTCCACAGCTGTGGTTGCTGGGAATGAACCCCCAGGGTCCTTTGGGAGAGCAACAAGTGCCTTTACTGCTGAGTCACCGCCAGTCCCTAGAGGCACAGATTACCATCTGCTGTGACTTATAGAAAGCTTCCTCTGCCAGCATCTGAAAATTTCTATAGTCTCTGAACAGTATCATTTTGCAATTATGGTGCCACAATGCGAAAATGACAGTTGGAAGCAGTCTTTAGTATTTCAAATGGAAAGCACTGTAGTATTCTGTATTAATTCCCATAAAGATCGGTGTTTATATTTTATTCACAAACATAAAATTTATGTCTTCTAAAAATCAAGAAATTCAAACCAAATTTGCTCTTTAGCATGTTGCGACATTGAGAGCTGTAGTGGTCCATGCCTGCCTGCGGTCCCTGGATGTAGAGGACAGAACAGGTTTAAAATGGATTCAAGGACAGCCTGAGGTGTGCAACAAGTCATGGCTAAGACAAAGGAAAACAAACAAACACCACCCAGTAGTGTTTCCCCCAGGCAAGGAGGTTGGGAGACGTGCAACTCTGGAGCCTGTCACTAAAACCAAGATAATCTGTGTGGTTGATCTGAATTCTCTTGATTTAATAACCATTGATTTTAAAAAAATGTTTATACCGTGTTTCATTTTTCTATCCATTTTCTTTTATTTTCAAATTTTTCCAAACATTAACAGGAAAATAAGCAACTGAGCAAGATGCTTAATTAACTCCAGTGGTTTGATCTCCAGCGCCGTATACATGTTCTTATTAAAAATACACTATATTACATGGTGTAATTTCAAAGTTAATTGTAATAAAAGGTAAACTGGGGTGGAAGAAAAGAATTTAGATGAATAATATCTTATATGTCAGTCTCTGTGCTTGGGAGCAGTCACAATGGAAGAGCTATTTAGTTACTTTAAAGTTGAATTCAGGAAGGGGCTGATTCCAATAGCACTGTCTAGCCTATGCAGTGTGAATATTCTGTGACGCAAAAGAGATAGAAGTGGAAAGGGAGAATTATTTTCTTTCCACAAGCATTGTCTCTATGTCGTCCCAACACAGACGAGACAAGTGGATTTAGTTCTAAGGGATCCTTCCAGCAGCGTACTTTTGGAAAACCAGCTCGTTTCAGATTTAGACTTTTCTAATATTTGCATGAAAAGGAAATAAATTTTGCTACTTTACTAATAGCTGTTTCCCTCTTTTCTTCTCTTTCCAAGACCACCAGTTTGTAAGTATAATTTTGTACTTCATGAAAGAAGAATAACAGAACTCCGACCAGATGCATGCAAGGTGTGAACGCCTTCTTTGGTCCATTTGAAAATCGTTGGCCAAAGGATTTGTCTGCTACAATAATGTAACCAGCATTGTTTTAGAATGAACTATTCAATCTGTAATTCAGGTGTATATATTTTAACAGATTTTGGAGATTCAAGATAAGAAAAAAATAATATACATATGATAAAAAATGTTCTGAATATATTCCAAGGCTGTTTGTTTTCCCTTATCTGCTTCCTAGATACATTTTAAAATTGAGTATTTATATTTTAGCCTAATCATTGGAAATGTTAAAAACTTATTTTCTAAAGGGAAATAGCAAGTTTAGTGCTTTAGAGTGGAAGAAAATCAATACCACTGTACCTCTCTATTGTAAAAAATGATTTTTAATTTGAAAATTCATTGTTTAGTGAAATAAGTTGGATTAATGTGATCCTTGTTAATATGAATATTTTTATGTGCTTCAAATAACAATGTTGTGTTACTGTGTCAAATAAATTAATAATTTATGAACCTATGATGCTTAAGATGTAATCCTAAATCCATAACTTGATGACTTTAAGTAGATTAATTCAATTCATTGTGCTTCTAAGTTCTCTAAGAAATGTTTATGAAATTTACTCAAGTGAACTACAAATAGTTTCTGTTTTATGATGATAAAAATAAAGATGATTATAGCTAACAGTTGCATAGATCATTGTGCTGTTAGAGAATATTAACCCATCTAACTATGTAAAACCACTTGAAACTAGTTCTACATAACTGATGAAGAGACCCCAGCATCAAGATGCTGAAGATTCATGCGTAACTCAAATCCTGTCAGAGATATCTGGATGCATGTCAATCACCTTGTTACCTTCTTTCATCAACTTTTTTAATAATGTGAGGAGTTTGATTAATTACCACTGTAATTCGGAATGCAATCTAAATTTCCGTGGCATTCTCTATCTCACTGTTTAATCAAGGCACTTCCCGGCCACAGAAATTTCTTCCTTGAGTTTCTGTATCTCTATAGTTTGTTATATGCTACTGAAAAGGATGCTCTTCGTTGTTTTTTTCTTTTTTTGTATTAGTGTCTTAGTGTCTGCAGGTGACTGTCTTCTTGTTATATACTCACAGGATCTACTATGTATGTGAACACCACCTGTCCCTTTCTGTTTCAAAATGTCTGCTTAGTGTAGTGTAAGTTGATCAGCCAGACTAGAGTGTGACCCACACAGTGTCTTGTTTTAACATAATCACCTCTCTGAAGTTGGATGTAATTAAATTCATTTTAAAATTAAAACTGTGTGTGTGTGTGTGTGTGTGTGTGTGTGTGTGTGTGTGTTTTCTTGTGTATGTTGGGTCAGGGGTCCATGTCAGTACACACACACACAAATGTGCTTGTGTGTGTTGAAGCTGGAGGACCAACTCAAGTGTTAGTCTCATGAGTGTTGGTTATCTCCTTTGAAATAAGAATTCTCATTGGCCTGGATCTCACAAGTGAGTTTGGCTGGTTAGTCAGAGACCCCTATAATCCTCCTTTTTTGACTGCCCAGAACTGAGACTATTAACTTGCAACACCATGTCTGGCATTTTGTTTGAAAGATTATTTATTTAGGTTAGTTACATGTATGTACGTGTGTCTGCATGCACACTTGTGCATGAGTATAGTTGTCTGCAGAGTTAAGAAGAGGTTGTCAGATCACCTGGACCTGGAGTTATAAGTGGTCTTGAGTTTCCCAGACATCAGCACCGGGAGCTGAACTCAGGTCCTCTGCAAGACCAATAACTACTCTTAGCCGCTGAGTCACCTCGTCGCCTCCATTTCTATCATTTTTACACCGGTTTGGGTAGGTAACTGGACTCAGGAGCAAGTATGCACTTTTTTGACAGGGCCATTTCCCCCAGACAATGATTAGTTTTCTAGCCAAATTATATATCCAACCGAAAACATTATTAAACGTATTGTTGATGTGATTTTTGTGAATTTTTTTGCTGATATGTTAAAATTACCAATAACAAATCGAGGAGAGAAGGTAGCTGGGATTCCAATAGATTCTTCAACACTGACCCCAACTACCTATCTTCCTTCTATTAAGTCCAGTTTCCTAAGGATTCCACAACCTCCCTATACCACCATCAACTGAGAACTTCAACATATAATCCTTCACTTAGTTGACATTTAAGATGAAGTTATAGCACTATTAAGTCAATCTATTCATTAAAATCTTTACTTGCAATACTATCTCATGTACCTCTCCAAATTCTCCATAAGCATATCTTTGTAATATCCTCAGTGACTGACTGAATAATCCAAGAAATAAAAATTGAAGGATGGGCAATATCAGAAAGACTTTTTTGGTATGTTATATAATGAGTAATCAGTGAGCATTATGTAAATCTGTGAATGAGTAAACGGATGAATGGATGAATGAGAAGTCAAATCCTCTGCAGAAGCACAGGCCAATTGGGGGAGCTGGGCGCCTCAAAAGTGTGATGTGACTGGGGATATTGAGCCAAACGACACAGAATTTACTGAATGTGACCATCTTGTCAAATTCAAAGAAGCACATGCTGTTTCTCTGGGGTGAGCTTTTAGATTTCCCGATGAAGAGATTGCTAAACATTACCAAGTAGCTCCAAGATGAATAAATCTATTTTGCTTCTCAGGTGGCATAAACAACATCAACGAAGAACATGGGGGTGGGGGGTCGGGTCATTTCGAGATAGAAAACTTCAAAACATGAAGAGCATTTTCCTTAATATTTTGTTGTCTTGTGAACATGGGGTGCTTGAAAAATGAAAGAAAATCTGGAAGGTGAACAGCTGGTAATGCAGATGGTGTTGATGAATTGAATTTGGATTTCTGCACTGGGGCTTACATTTCTGGAATGTTAGGCTCCTCTTGGCTCAGAGCAGAATTTTGTCTCACAGGGACATAGAAGATTGTTTTTGCATGCAGCCTAGAAGTGCTTTTAAGTGGAGCACAAGATTACAGAAAGTGTTTGAAGACTAAATTTAAAGGCACCATTCACCCAGACAGACACATACATCTCCTGATTTCTTCCCTTTATCCTTATCAGCAACAATCAGAATTTAGGGCAGATTCACCCACCTACCACTTCTCCCTTGATCCTTGGCATGGCTGCTCTCATGGTTTATTTATTTGTTCCAAGCACACTCCCACCTTTGCCATTGTCTCCACTGTTAGCCAGAAATGCTGTCCCATGTCTGTGTCGCAGTAGCATGGCTCTTCTGTATCTCTTAACATTTGTCTTCCATCATGAAAAGTGTTTGCATGTATCTTTATTTCAGAAATTTAATAAAGATTGGATAATTTCAATTGTTCAGCAACCTATGCCAAATTAAATAAATGAAACAATAATGTTTTCAAGTTTCTATCTTTTAAGTGGGAGAAAAGTGGGCAGCAATTATTATTCAAACTGGAACAAAATGTTAAAGGTAGGTCTGCTTGAAGATTAGAGAGTTCTTAGAGATAATTTGAGAGTCTCACGGCTTTAAACTCTTCTAATACAAGGATTCAGTATTACAAAATTTTAGCCAAGACAAGTCGAGTAATAAGTTCAATTAAAAATTAATTAAAAAATATTCTCCTAACTATATGAGCATTAAAACATTCATTGTATCTGAACAGATAAAATAATGATCATTTTTATGTCTTCGATTAATAATATTTTAGGAAAACTAATATTGACTGGCAAACAAACAGCATCCACAGCAATAAAGATGCTAAAATCATTATACTTTACCAGACGAATGTGTCATTAGTTTCAAGAGTGCTTTTCATGGAGATTTTAAAGAAATGTATGAATGTTATTTTATTTCAAACCTTCTTTCTTTCTTTTTTTGGTTGGGAGACTTTTAAGGACTGCTTCTATTTTCTTTATGGGTTATAGGACTATTTAAATTGTTCATCTGGATTTGATTTAATTTTGGTACATGGACCCTATCCAGAAAATTGCCCATTTCTTTTAACTTTTCCAGTTTTGTGGAGTATAGGTTTTTGAAGTATGACCTAATGAGTCTCTGGATTTCCTCAGTGTCTGTTGTTATGTCCCTCTTTTTGTTTCTGATTTTGTTAATTTAGTTATTCTGCCTTTTGGTTAGTTTGGATAAGGGTTTGCTTATCTTGTTGATTTTCTAGAAGAAAATTTTTTTTTCTTCTTTGATTCTTTGTATTGTTCTCTTGTTTGTTTCTATTTTATTGATTTCCGCCCTCGGTTTGATTATTTCCTGGTGTCTATTCCTCCATGGTGGGTTTGTTTCTTTTGTTCTAGAACTTTCAGGTGTTCTGTTAATTTGCTAGTCTGTGATTTCTCCAACTTCTTTGTGTAGACATTTAGTGATAAAAAAAATTTTTTAATACTGCTTTCAGAGTGTTCCATAAGTTTAAATATGTCGTACGTTCATTTTCATTGAATCCTAGGAAGTCTTTAATTTCTTTTTATTTCTTCTTTCACTCAGGGGTGATTCAGTTGAGCATTATTCAGTTTCCATGTGGCTTGTAGGCTTTCTGGAATTTGTGTTGTTGATTTCTAACTTTGAGCCATGGTGATCCAGTAAGATACAGGGGCTTATTCCAATTTTTTGTTTTTGGTTTTGTTTTTGTATCTGTTGAACTTTGTTTTGTGACTGAGTATGTGGTCAATTTTAGAGAAGGTTCCATTGGGTGGCGAAAAGAAGCTATATTCTTTTGTGTTTGGATGGAATGTTCTAGAGATGTTTGTTAAGACCATTTGACTCCTAACATCTGTTAGTTCCCTTATTTCTCTGTTAACTTTCTGTCTGGTAGACCTGTGCATTGGTGAGAGTGTGGCATGTCACAGTCTCTCACTATTGGTGTGTGGGGTTTGATGTGTGATACAAGCTTTAGTAATGTTTCTTTTACAAATGTATTTGAGGAATAAATGCTAAGGACTGAAACCTCATCTTAGTCGATTTTTCCTGTGAAAATATGAAATGTCCTTATTAATCTCTTTTAATTACCTTTAGTTTGAAGTTTATTTTGCTGGATATTAGCATAGCTACACCAACTTGCTTATTAGGTCCATTTGATTGGAAAGTCTTTTTCTAACACTTTACTCTGAGGTAATGTCTTTCTTTAAAGTTGAAGTATATTTCTGGTATGCAGAAGGATGGATCCTGTTTTCATATCCACTCTGTTAGCTTCTGTCTTTTAATAGGCAAATTGAATCTTTTGATATTAAGAGATATTAGTGACTGGTGATTGTTAATTCCTTTTATTTTGTGTGTGTGTGTGTGTGTGTGTGTGTGTGTGTGTGTCAGGGCGTGTGTGTTTCCCTTCTTTAAGATTTGCTGGTGTGGGATTATCTATTGCCTATGCTTTTTTTGGGTACAGCTAACTTCTTTGGGTTGGAGTTTTCCTTCTACTGCTTTCATAGGGCTGGTTTGTGGATAGGTTTTGTTTAAATCTGGTTTGGTCATGGGATATCTTGTTTTCTCCATCTACGGTGACTGAAAGTTTTACTGGGTATAGTAATATGGTTGGCATCTATGGTCTCTTAGTGGCTATATAACTTCTGTCTAGGATCTTCTGGCTTTCAGAGTCTCCATTGAGAAGCTGGGTATTATTCTGATGGGTCTGCCTTTATATGTAACTTGACCTTTTTTCCTTTAGAGCTCTTAATATTCTTTATTTTGTTTGTTCTGTGCTTTGAT